TATATAACAGAGATGTGTCTTTTTGGTGTTATGTAATCCACTCCTCTATCCACAGTATTTCCTGTAAGTGGAAGCTCTAGATGCTTGATTAGATTCAGGTTCAAGGTTTTCCAGTATACTTTGTAGATGGTGCTGTGTGATGAGGAAAAGATTTTAAGATTTTTGTTTGTTTGTTTCTCAGTGATACTGGTTTATATAATTGTTTTTAGACCGTCGTTGTACCTGTGTCCTATGGCAATGTCTAGCGGCAAGGATGACTGGGAAAATAGGTATTTTGTTTTCCCAGTCCCTGGGTGGTGGTGCAAACAGTTAACACACTCAGCTGCTAACTAAAAGGATAGAGGTATCGGTCCACCTAGAGGCACCTCAGAAGAAAGGCCTGGTGATCTACTCCCAAAAAATCAGCTACTGAAAACCCTATGGAGCACAGTTCTACCCTGCACACATGGGATCACCATGAGTTGGAATCGACTCAATGGCAACTGGTGTTTTATAGTAGAAGCAGAGAAGGGAAAAGGGGATTAGGAACGGAGGCTTGCCCAGCCCCTCTCTCCAGCGTCTGCCACAAACAGTCTGCAGGGTGTCTGCGTTTCCTGGCTCACTGGCTCCAACTCCATTTATTGCCTCTCACTTTGGAAAGCATACAGTAGTGCTACCGACAGTGGCACTATTATGGGAACAGTGCGGACTCCCCCTGTTTTTGTTTTTCGTAGTTGTCAGGCTTTGGAAATTGAAAAATTGTTAGTAATAAACTCTTTGTGAAACATTTTGTAACTGATTGCAGCTTTGGTTCGGAAGCACTGCGTTCGAGCTGCAGGGTCTAGTGCGAGGACATATCTATATAAACACACAGGTCTCAGGAGTGTGAGAAGTGCAGTTGAAATGCTGCAGATGGGACCATTGGAGTCCACAGGGTTTTCATTGGTCGATTTTTGAGAGTAGGTTGTCAGGCCTTTCTTCCTAGTCCATCTTAGTCTAGATGCTTTGCTAAAACCTATTAAGCATCATAGCAACACGTAAGCCTCCACTGACACGTGGTGGCTATACATGAAGTATATTGGCCAGGAATCGAATTGGGTCTCCCTCATGGAGGGTGAGTTTTACTACTGAACCAGCAGTATTTTATGAATTTTTTTTTCTTGGCCAGGGGATAGCTATTAATACTAGATAGTTATTTCCCCTCAACTTTTGATTTAGAAAAAATTCAACTTATGGAGAAATGGAAAGAATAATGTAATGTATTATCTTCACCTGGATTCACCAGTTAACAAGCACATACAAACATATACATAATATACTGTATTTTTACGCAGATAATGCACGCCTTCTACATTTGTTTGTCAACTGCCTCTTCCCCCCGGGAGGTATTTTCATAAGTGCTGCTATGCCAATTTTTTTTTTACATGTTGCTGTAAAAAAATTAGCATAGCGCTCTTATGAAAATACCTCACGGGAGGAGGGCGCCATTGACAAACAAACGTAGAAGTTGCACACTATTTGCGTAAAGATAGGGTATATGTATACATGCATGCATACCTATCAATATTTTATTTTGCTGATCTAGCTGAGAATAAATTTCAGACATCATTATAATTCATCGCTAAATACTTTAGCATGTATCTCCTAAGAATAAGGGCATTCTCCTACATTTCCACAGTACTGTTATCCCACTCAAACTTTACATTGCGTGCAACAGATTTCTCTTTATATATGACCTTTCTCGCCCTGGGTTTTTAGTTCTGTCAAGATAATTTTCTAGGCCACAAGCTTGCAAAGGGATTGGACAGTTTACTATGCAAATAAGGGGAGTAAAACCGTTTCAGGGATTGGACAGTTTACGGTGGAAATAAAGTGCATAAAACCCTTGCGGGGATTGGTTGATTACTAAGCAAGTTAGGTGACTGTAGCCTACCAAGGGGATTGCTCAGTTTGTGGTCTTGGTGGGGGGTAGGCTTATAAAAGGTCTAATCCCACAGAGGTTGAGAGGGACCTCACTACCATCAAGAAGAAGAACCTGGAGGAGAGTGTGTCCTTTGGACTCAGGATCCATGGGCTGAGAACCTCCTAGACCCAGGAGACAGAGTGAGTTGTAACACTGAAGATGGCAGTAGCACAAGACAACTGCACATGGGACCAGCAGTGGCATGGGACTGGCAGACAGCTGCAGTACGCTTGCTGACCCATGGAGCGAGAGAGCTGAGCTCCTTTGGGCAAGAGCTTGTTGGCGGAGTGGGGTGCCTCCTGGCATTTGTCAACAGAGCCAAAAGAGCTGTAACAGTTGCCCAAGCAGGGCAGAGGAGGCCCAGTATGGCCCTGCGGCAGTAGGCCTGAGTGAAGGGCCTGGCTGCAGACCTGGCTGAGAAGGAGCTGAGAGCTGTCTTGGTTGGAAGCCATCCTGATTGATGAACTGTATCCTGTGTCCTGAGTTGTATCCTGTTTTCTTCAAGTTGATCCTGATCCTGAATTGTAACTCATTACTTTGCTAATAAACACCGTAATTGTGAGTATGGTTTGAGTGTTCTATGTGGCCTCTGCAATGAATTATCACACCCAGCAGAGAAGTAGAATGTGCCTTGAGAGGGACAGCTGGTGTCAGAATTTGGTAAAAGGTTGGAGAGTGGAGGTATGTCTGACCTCCACCTCATAGGAACCAGTTTGGGGCTGATGAAGGTGATTCTCATCCCTTCTCGCAAAGTTAGATGACATCTGATGCTACTAGATTATACATATTGATACTATGCTATTTTTTAATATTTAGTTCATATCCAGATGTTCCCAATTATCCCAGTACTTTTCCTTTACCATTGTATTATTATTTTTTAATCTAGGAGCCAAAGCTTTTCGTTGCTTTGTCTTATTGTTTTTGTTGTTCTTGTTGTTAGTTGCCCTAAGTTGGTTCCAATTCATGGTGACCCCGTGTACAACGGAATGAAACTGGTCCTGTGCCATTCTTGTGATCATTGGTAAACTCAAGTGCATTGTTACAGTCACTGTGGATGTAACTAGAGAGTTCATCTTCCAGCACTATATTGGACAGTGTTCTGTTGTGATTTATGGGGTTTTCAATGGCTAATTTTTAGAAGTAGATTACTGGGCCTTTCTTCCTAGTCTGTCTTAGTCTGGAAGCTCCACTGAAACCTGTCCGTTGTGGGTGACCCTGTTGGTATTTGAAATACCAGTGGCATAGTTTCTAGCATCATAGCAACACACAGGCCATCAAAGGACGACAAACTGACAGATGAGTAGTGGCCTGTCATCTTAGTGTCCTGTAATTTGACAGAAATAGATGAATCCGTCATGAAAGAATATTGAAAATGCCAAGACTTGGTGAGTGATGGTAAATGGAACATCCAAACACTACGAGGCCTGTGAATCAGTGCAAACTTTTTAGAGGACAATTTTGACAGTATCAATCAAATAATAAAACACGCATACCCACGTAATTCAGTAGTCTCTGGTCTAGGAATTTATTCTGTAGAAACACTCTTAAAACCTGTTAACCCGTTGCTGTCAAGTTGATTCTGACCCTATATGACAGAGTAGAACTGCCCCATAGGGCTTCCAAGGAGTGACTGGTGGATTTAAACTGTTGACCTTTTGGTTAGCAGCTGAGCTCTTAACCACTGCGCCACCAGGGCTCCTGAAACACTCTTACAAGCACTGAAAGACACATGTTCATGGAGATTTATTGTAACATTCTTGGCGTGAGCATGGATAGTTAACGGTGTAATACAGGCAACGTGGAGGGGAGAAGAGAAACTTTGTCCACTCAAAACTTTGAATTTCCTCCATGCTTCTCAGTGCTTTTGTGTTAGTAAGTGTCCAGTCAGGAGACAAAAAGCATATCAACTATTTGAACGGAGAGAATAGAATATAAAAAATTGTTAACTAGGCATCAGGTTGTTAACCAGGCGACTGAAGGGGAAAGAGAAAACCCTAAGGTATCATGAAGTAGCAGTTGCAGAAAGTAGCTACCAACCTCTCTGAGTATCTTAGTTTTCTAGCGCTGCTATAACAGAAACACCACAAGTGGGTGCTTTTAAAAGATAAAAAATTATTTTTTCACAGCTTAGGAGGCTAGAAGTCTGAAGTCAAGGCGCCAGCTCTAGGCGAAGGCTTTCTCCCTCTGTTGGCTCTGGGGGAAGGTCCTTGTTTCTTTCAGCATCTGGCCCTGGCTTTCTTCAGTTCCTTGGCAAGCCCCACATGGCATCTGTCTTCCTCCCATTTGTGCTCAAATCTTCGTCTATGCTGTTTCTTATAACTCAGAAGTGATTAGGTTTAGGACCCACCCTACACACATAGGGACTTATTAATGTAACAAAGAAAACCCTATTTCCAAATGGGATTCCATGCAGAGGTATAGCGGTCAGAACTCCAACACATGTTTTAGGAGGACACAGTGCAGTCCACAACATTGAAGGAACGAAGGAAAGAGACTTGGAAACTTAGAGGAGGGGTCCTGTGGGGCAGGGCCTCTGACCTATGAGGAGATGTACTGGCTGGCTGGTGTCTCTGAGCTCAGAGAAGAAGCCCTATAGGCCTGGGACCCAGACTTCTGATGGAGAGACCCCAGCTGGCTGGAGCTGGTGTTTGTGAGATGGAGCACAATGAAACTGGTTCTCCAAGTGTTAGAAAAACTGCAACATGGATTCAGCTATTGCTGTGGAAAGGAGCCGCTGCTGTCAGGGTAAAGTAGCATTACTGGGTTGATACAAGAGCAGGAAGCAGACAAGAAGGAACAAGTCCCTTCTTCCTCTGCTAGCTTTGCAGAATCCCTCTAATGCCCCCTCCCCCCATCATCAGAGCATAACATAGAGCCAGCTGGCAAAGCAGAGGTGTGATTTCAGATTTCTAGAGCCAGCATTGCAAAATATGGCTTAAAAGTGAGGCTTTAGGGCAGACAGACAGTTCACTTAATGACTGGCACAGCTTCTAGCTTTGCTCTTCTTCCAGTGGTCATTTGTGTGGATGATGGATGTGGAGTGTGCTTGCTGTTTTAGGAAGCAGTGACGTTCAAGGATGTGGCTGTGGTCTTTACTGAAGAGGAGCTGGCACTACTGGACAAGACCCAGATAAGCCTGTACCAAGATGTGATGCTGGAGAACTTCAGGAACCTCGTCTCAGTGGGTGAGAACAATCATCTTCTGGAACTAAGCCTCAAACCACTGGGTTTATTTTCTCACATGATCACTTTCAAGCCAGATATAATATTCCAGTTGGAGCATAAAGAGAAATTTTGGCAGATGGAGAGCAAACTCCAAGGAGATGCATGTGCAGGTGAGAACTCTGCAGTTTAGATTTTTGCAGATAAATGTGAGCTGTGGCGCCTTGTGAAGTGTGGTGAGGGAGCCCCCCTCAAACCCTGCAGCCCCTGACCTGTGGCTTGGCTGACGTGGTTAGTGAGCCCTTTCTAACTTCCTCATATGTTGAGGCTCTCATTCTTTCCTCATATTTCTCAGCGTGAGATTGATAAAGTTCACACACCACCAAGCACCTTAGTCCCTTGGTTGCTTCTGGAGAAAATCCAATGGGACAAACTAACGTTAAAGGAACCAGACCGAAACTTTGATTTGGTTGACACTTACAAGAGTACCTGGTACATAGTAAGTGCAATATTAAGTGTTAGCTTGTGGCTTAGTTATCTAGTGCTGTTATAACAGAAATGCCACAAGTGGGTGGCTTTAACCAACAGAAATTTATAGTCTCACAGTTTAGGAGGCTAGAAGTCCGAATTCAGACTGCCGGCTCTAGGGAAAGGCTCTCTCTGTCTGTCAGCTCTGGGGGAAGGCCTTGTCTCTTCAGCTTCTCTTCCTTGGCTCCTTGGTGATCTTCAGTGGTGTGGCATCTATCTTCCCCCCATCTGTGCTTCCTTAACTGCTCTGTTTATATCTCAAAAGAGATTGACTCAAGACACACCCTACACTAATCCTGCCTCATTAACATAACAAAGAACACCCACTCCCAAATGGGATTATAACCACAGGTATCTGGGTTAGGATTTACAACTTGTGTTTTTGGAGGACACGATTCAATCCATCACAGCTTGTTTATTTATTGTTTGATAAATGTCTAACCTAATTTCAGTTTCTCAAAAGCCCTTATGCAGATATGTATTACCTCAGTTTAGTTTATGAGATAATTGCTATTATTAATCCCCTTTTACAGATGAAATAACTGAGATGCAGTAACTTGCCTGTGATCACACAGCTTGGAAGGAGAGGAAGTTGGATTTGAACCCTCCCAATCTGACTCTGGAGCACTGGTGGTGCAATGGTTAAGAGCTTGGCTGCTAACCAAAAGGTCAGCAGTTCGAATCCACCAGCCGCTCCTTGGAAACCCTATGGGGCAGTTGTGCTCTGTCCTGTAGGGTCACTATGAGTTGGAGTGGACTCAACAACAATGGGTTTGTTTTTTTTGGTTTAATTTGACTCTGGAGCCCTGGTGGTGCAGTGGTTAAGAGCTTGGCTGCTAACCAAAAGGTTGACAGTTCAAATCCACCAGCTGCTCCTTAGAAACACTATGGCCAGTTCTACTCTGACCTATAGGGTCACTATGAGTCGGAATCGACTCAATGACAATGGGTTTGGTTTTTTGGTTAATCTGACTCTAGACCCTGTGTTTTTAATAGCCATGTGAAATTGAAGTACCACTGTATCTGTAGATTATAGGCATAGCACTCTTTTGCCTAAATATGCATATCCCTCAGTTGTTTCTCAAATGGCAGGATACAACCCCATTGGTGGGTCCCGAAATCAAGTTAGTATAGGAGGGGAGCCCTCTCCCCAAGAGTGGGGTTCAGATCAGTAGGTTTTTGTTGTTGTTGTTGTTGTTTAATTTTATCATGGTAAAATATATATAACATAAAATTTGCCATTTTACCATTTTTAAGTATACAATTCAACGTTGTTACATTCACAGTGTTGTGAAACTTTTATCATTATCCATCCAGACTTTTTCCAAATCCCATTTTCCAAATGTTTGCATCCCCCCAAACAGAAACTTTGTACCCATTACACAGTAACTCCCTACTCCCACCCCCTCCCGGCCCCTAGTAACCTCTAGTCTACTTGCTGTCTTTCTGAATTTACCTGTTCTACATATTTCATATAAGTAGACTCATATGGTATTTGCCCTTTCATATGTCCAGCAGTTTTTAAAAGCAAAGTAGATGTTTATAGACTAGAACACAAAAGAATTTATCCTCATGCAGTACACATAGTAAGGTAAGTATTGGCTGACGGAACTTTCTTTCAGTTAACGGTCTGTGTGTGTGTGTGTGTGTGTGTGTGTGTGTGTACTAGATTGCAGTGTAAAATGCTTTTCTTACTATGGGTTACAGTTAAAACAATTGAAAAACCCTTGCTTTGAGCCTGTTCTAGGTAACTCAAAGGCCTCCTTTCCCTGACACCATTTTACGAACTAAAGCCACTTTCAATAAAATGACCCAGGAACTGCCTTGAACCAAAAGCAGTGTCCAGATGGTCTTGACCGTGGTATTCATGCCATTTTGAAGCCCATTTTAGGGTGCCAGTGATGTGACCACCTTATTCTGCTTTGGCCCCTATCCCTTATGGCTCTTTAGTACAGTCTTGCTTCCTTGTGTGCCAGACCATTGACAGGGCCACACGTCCTGTTCTCGGAGGCGTGGTTTGAGATTTTGCAATAGCCTAAAAGCACTGAAATTAAGGAAATGGATTACAGGAGCCTAGTGGATTTTATCTGGTCATGAAGCCAGAGAACCTCGGGGAAAATAAAAAGGATATCTATTCAAGCCTGTCTCAGATGTGTGTACGTGCCTCCCCCGAGTCCTAGGACCATATTTCACAGTATTAGCCCCATTTCAGTCCTCACTACTGCTTTAAGCCCACCAGGTACAGTTGTGCAGGTTGTACATAAGCATACATGATAGCCCTACACCATACGACAGTGATGTGAAAAGGGGGACATTATCAGGAGACAGGACATGTCGCTTGTTTCTACAACCTTTACACTATGTCTTGGGAGATCCTAGTGATCCTTTATGTTTCTTACCATGTCCAACACAGAAAACCAGAAAACCAAACCCATTGCTGTCGAGTCCATTCTGACTCATAGCAACCCTATAGGATGGAGTAGAACTGCCCCATAGGGTTTCCAAGGCTGTAATCTTTATGGAAAACAGATAGCAATATCTTTCTCCCACAGAGCAGCTGGTGGGTTTGAACTGCCAACCTTTCAGTTAGCAGCCAAGTACTTTAACTACTGTGCCACCAGGGCTCCTTGTCCAGCAAATAATACCCTATTATTTTGTATCGTGTGTGTGTGTATGAATTATATGGAAGCCTTCTTCATACTGTCTGTAGCAAAATAATTAAAGGCTTTTAATTGACTCCTCTAATAGCAGGGAGATAAATTTCTTCCTTTATAAGCTCTTCCCAAGATTTCTTTTGACTTCCCTGCAACACCTGATATCTAATTGGAAGCTTGCAGATTAGAATTACTGTGGTTCAAATTACATCATATGTGAGTAGAAGGCAGTGACAACTTTCCACCCCATCCTGTTTCATTTTCGGCAAACCTCTGGATAGACGGTTTACTTGAGCTCTTAGCCAAGTTCTCTCTGTCCTCACAGGAGATGGGATTAAAAGCACCATTTCAAATCTTCAGGAGAAAGGATTGAGTTATCTCTCACAAGAAGTGCTCTACTGCTGGCAGATTTGGAAACAAAGAATCAGTGACTTAACTGAGAGTCAGGATTATGTCGTAAATCGTCAAGGAGATTATCCCCAATTTTTAGAAAAAGATGTCTCCTGTGAAAAGTGGGCAGGAGTGTCTCTTCAGATTTTGGAAAATGAAAACTATGTGGTAAATGCCATTAATTTAGAAAATCCAACAGCTTGGAAAAGCCTGACACAGGTCCTGACCCCAGAATCTTGGAGAAAAACCAGCCTAATGACTGAGCCCCAGAATTCTCAGGGAAGGTGTAAGGGAATTCATGCAGAAACGAAAGTATATGGATGCGATCGGTGTGCCGAGAGCTTCGATTGGGCCTCACATAGTCATGACGATTCCCAAGAATGTAAAGGAGAGGAACGTTGTAGATGCAGCGACTTTGGGGAGAAGTTAGTTATGAAAACAGTTGGACAATATAAGGTAGTCCATACAGTACCAAAACCGTTCAAATGTAATCACTGTGGAATGGGCTTCATGGATGATTTAAATCCTTACACACATCACAGCGCTCACATAGGAGAAAAAGCTTACAAATGTGACCAGTGTGGAAAGGACTTAAGTCAGAGCTCAGATCTTGTTCCTGATAAAACCCATTCAGGCAGGAAATCTTACGACTGTCATGAGTGGGCCAAGGGCTGCAAACAGAGCTCATACCTTCCCAGACATCCAAAAGTCCCCTTAGGAGACAAACCCTATAAATGTGATGAATGTGGTAAGGGCTTTAGGCGGACCTCCTCTCTGCACAACCATCACCGAATCCATACAGGAGAGATGCCCTACAAATGTGATATGTGTGGTAAAGGGTTCGGATTCAGGTCACTGCTTTGGATTCATCAGGGAGCGCACACAGGGAAAAAACCCTATAAGTGTGAAGAGTGTGGGAAGGCCTTTGATCAGAGCTCTAATCTTCTTGTCCATCAGAGGGTGCACACTGGCGAGAAACCCTACAAATGCAGTGAATGTGGCAAGTGCTTTAGTTCCAGCTCCGTTCTTCAGGTCCACCGGCGGCTGCACACGGGAGAGAAACCGTATAGGTGTAATGAGTGTGGAAAGACCTTTAGCCAAAGCACACACCTTCATATTCACCAGAGGGTCCACACAGGAGAGAAACCCTACAAGTGCAGTGTGTGCGGCAAGGACTTTGCGTACAGTTCGGTTCTTCACACTCACCAGAGAGTTCACACAGGAGAAAAACCTTACAAATGCGACGTGTGTGGTAAGGGCTTCAGTTACAGCTCATATTTTCATTTACATCAAAGAGATCACTCAAGAGAGAAACCCTATAAATGTGATGAGTGTGGTAAGGGCTTCAGCCGGAATTCAGATCTTCACGTTCATCTCAGAGTCCACACAGGGGAGAGACCCTATAAGTGTAAAGAATGTGGTAAGGGCTTCAGTCGCAACTCATATCTTCTTGCTCATCAGAGAGTGCATTTAGACGAGACACAATATACATGTCATGAGTGTGGGGAGGGTTTTAGTTATATCTCAGACCTGCTTACTCATCAAAGACTGCATACAAGGACAGAAGCATTATAGATGTAGTGAGGCAGGGTTCAACCAGGAAAACAGAAGCCGTTCTCTGTATCCCAGGTGATGAGAGGCTTACTTAGCCATTGGAAGGGCTAGAGGAGCAAAGGTTAGAGACATTGCCATCTATGATGTCAACGTGTAGCACTGAAGTAGGTGATTCTTAAGAGCATTCCAGGGAACTCCTACAAATCTCAAGAACCTCTGTAGCTCCCATCAACTGTCTTCTTGGCAAAGTAAGTGATCCTCTACAGTGGGCGGTTTGTGGCAGTAGCAAGAGTTAGAGGTCAAATTGCCATTAAAGGACATGCAGGCAGTCCCTGTGTTATGAACATCCGACTTGCGGACAACTCATACTTAAGAACGGACTGCCATAAAGCCTATTATATTAAAAATTTGAGTTAAATACGATAGTTTCTAATAATACACACACTACTTTCTGACACTTATGAAAACATTGCATGGTTTGGAAGTGTTTTATATGCATAGAAAGGTAAAATGTATACTATATACTAAGGCAAACATCTGACTGACACTAAATGAGAACTGTATGTACCTGTTCTGACTTCCTTACAAATTCGACTTAAAGACAGATTTAGGAACGGATCTCGTTTGTAACCCAGGGAGTGCCTCTACCCATGAAGGAGGTTTTAATTGGGATGAATATGGTAAGGACTTCAGTTTAGCTAAAGTCTTTAGGTTTTTGAGAGAGTCCATACTAAAAATATACCCTTTGTGTGAAGGACATTCAAAAGCGTGCTCAGAAATGAAACACCCATGTTATTAGTGTTGTAAGAACATTAGTCCATAGTCAGGTTTTCAAATCCATTAGATTTCTATACAGGAGAGAAGCTCTATAGGAGTGATAAAAATTTTAAGAGTGTGACAGAGACAGTGCTGTATCTGTCACACTGGTTCCATTTCCCGGGCACCTAGGAAGACTTCATTTCCCAGCAACACTTGCAGTTAAGAGTGAGTCCATGCTATTGTGTTGCAGCCAGTGGAGTGTGAGCAAAACAACATGAGCCACTTTCAGGCCTGGCCCTTACAAACATCTCATGATGTACTTCAGGCTTCTCTTTCCCTGCCAAGGTGACCTTGGAGGCTGCTTGTTCCAGATGCGGATATTGGAAGGTGGCTATTTGACGTGTGTTGGACTTTTTGTGAGTAAGAAATAAACATCTACTGTGTGACATGACTGAGATTTTGGTGTTTTATTTGTTACTACAGTACTGCCTATCCTATCCTGACTAATACAGAGATATCTAATAGCAACATATTTCACAGTCATTGGAGTCCACATAGGAAACCAACAGTATAATTCTAAGTTCAAGCTTTTTAATCTGCAAGGCTCTATGTGACAATGAAGTCATCTAAAATGGTGTGGTGAGGACTTCTTCAGTGAGAATCTTTCCATTCATTAGTGTGTACATAGAAGAGAAACCTTCCAGTTGATATACATGTGGTAAAACTTTACCAAAAGTGCAATTTATAGACCTGAGAAATCCCACGCAGTCGAGACACTCTATAATATGTATCAAAACTCTATAATGTGTGATGGAGGAAGACGTTTGTCAGCTTACACCTTAAATGCAGTAAAAATAAATATTAACTAGAATAGGTGTCCTGCAAATAGTCTTAATAAAATTAATTAGATAAAACTAACATTTACTGAAGCATATAACAATTTAATGAAAAGATCAACCAATTTGTAGAAAAGATCAACAGTGTTCACTGTCAGAAGCAAATACACGGCTGCTCAGAAACTGATAATAATGGTTTTTAAAGGGCACTCATTTTGTCAAGTTCCTCCAAGATTGTGATTTCATTTTGAATTACATTATCTTCATATTATATAGAATTTGAGAATGTAATTTGGAATTACATTATATTCATATTTGGGAAGAGAAGATGTCTTCACAATATCTTTCTTCTTCAATAATCATTAATGCCTTTTTTGTATCAGTTGATTTATAGGTTTCTTCATTTGGGTCATGTTTTATTCCTAGTTTTTCTTGCATTGCATTTTTCTACCAGTTATGATTTGTATTTGGAAGAGCCTTTCAAAGGCAAATGAAATCATCCCTGAAGTGTTATTTTCTTACTGATCAGGTGAGCAGTAATAAAAGATACACAAAATTCATTGTGAGTAAGGGAGTGGAAAATGAGCATTCTTATATAAGTTGGTTAAAAGAAAACAGGCACAACATTCCTGGAGAGGATTTTGTGTATCAAAATGTACAATGTGCATTGTCTTTGAGCCTGTGATCCTTTTTCTTAGAATTTATCTTTAGGAGGTAATGCACAAGTAGGAAAAGATGGTTTCAGAAGGGAGCATGTTCCAAGAATGTTTGCAATAATAATAACTGTAAACAACCTAACAGTCAATGAGTAAGAGATTGAATGAATTATGAAAACCTAATATAATGGAATAAGACAGTGGTAGAATTCTTGCCTTCCATGTGGGCAACCCGGGGTTTGCTTCTTGGCCAATGCCCCTCATGTGCAGCCACCACCTGTATGTTGCTATAATGCTGAACAGGTTTCAGTAGAGCTTCCAGACTAAGACGGATTAGGAAGAAAGAGCTGGTGATCTACTTCTGAAAATCAGCCAATGAAAAAACCTATGGATCACAACGATCTGATGTGTAACCTATCATGGGCATGGCACAGGACCGGACAGTGTTTTGTTCCATTGTTCATGGGATTGTCATGAGTCGGGGCTGACTAGGCAGCTAACATCAATAACATATCATGGAATAACATGGCACCCTTAGAACTGATCTAGACCTATACAAATGTCCACATATTGTTTAGGAAAAAAAAAGAAAACCAAGTTGTAAAAAATCACCGTAGTATGATCTTTGACGGATACACAAGATTTTTAGAGTTCAGAGCAGCACTGGAGACCATCCCCCACCCCGCCCTCCCCTCCCCCACCACTCTACGGTTTTCAGTGTTGTTCCAAGGTCTGTTTGCTTGGAGAATTTAACCCAGGCAAGGTTATGCTTAAAGTAGGAATGTATTTCCCAGAATTATTTTCTCTGGGCTTTACCCTTCTCTGTAACAATTTCATCATTAGACATTCAGCAACTCTTACACAATATTTCCTCATTATGGGTTGCCAATAGAACTCATGATAGAGCAGGCAGTTTGTTTGGAGAGAGCAGGTAATGATGAAAGATTGTGAAGTTTTGCCTTGGAAAGAGACTGCTAGAGATAGAAGGCTTGACCTGTTGCCAGGTGGTTGCTACATTCTAGCTCCTTGCATGAGTAACTAGAGCAAATGGACCAGTGGGAGAGCCAGTTGTCCTCTCATTGAGTGGCCTTCCTTGAGTCTCTGTACTGATCGTGATACTTCTTGGGCCAATCCTTGGCTTTCTGAGCCTTATCCTATATGTCTTCCTAGGTAACCTAAAATTTGCAGCGGTACTGACCTGCAGCTCGGATGGCAATGATTGTAGTTAAGTCTAGGGGTGATGTGCCAGTCACATCAGTGGTTTCAGTTGTCACCTGATCAGTCTGGGTCCAAAAAAGAGAAACCACACAGAGGGTTAAACGGGAAGTTTAGTATAAAGAATTATTAAACTGATGAAAAAGTAACTATAAGTTTATTGCCTCAGCTCCAAATTCACCCTTCAGTACATGCTGTTTTATAATGATTGGAATTCCTTTGAGCATTTCTTCTTCACTGTGAGCACAATGTCAAGCTTTCTCAGTAGAGGGCGCTGGAGGGACATTGCAGGAGACGGGCTCTGCTGCTGTTTCTGGCAGCTGCAGTCAGTCAGCAGTGAGGGTGTGAGGACATCTAGTGGTGCTTTGCACTAACCACATGCCTAGAACACACAGTTTCTCAGGGACCTTGCAGACTCACGCTGGCAATTACCTTCCTGTGGCCCTCTCAGCATGGACAACCACACACTCTGGGCCTCCTACCCGCACACGCACACACATTCCCTCTGCATACCCATGTCTCTGGCCACTGGCAATGACTCATTTGTGCTTTAAAGAGTTGCCACCAGCACCCCTACTCCATCTGCATGCCCATCCACTCAGCCACCAGTAGCAGCTTGCCTATAGAGTGCCTACATCCTGAAATGTAGCTTCCTGCTTGCCAAGCAACTAAGGACCAGCTCTGACTAAGGCAGAACAGCAAAATTCTCTGCCGTCCAGTGGGCTGTAGTTACACCTCCAATGAAACCTGAACCCCAGCCTTGGGAGTAAGTTTGTTCTTCCTTGGGTACTCTCCCTGTGTCCTAACGTACTATATAGAGGTTTTTTCTTTTTTTTTTAAACCTCATAATTACTCTTTCATCAGTTTGATAATTTTTTATATTAAGCATCCCCTATTTAACTGTAAAAATGGTGCGGGGTGCAGTCTGACCTCCTCTAAGGTCACAAGGGGGAAGGAGAATCAAGATCAACAGCCCAAGGCTGATTCCTATGAGACAGGTCAGACACGCCTCCTCTCTCTGCCATCTTTACCAATTCTGACACCAACCGTCCCTCCCACGGCACTAGCTACTTCTCTGCTGGGTTTGATAATTCGCTGCAGTAGCCACACAAAACTCACAGACAATACTTATGATTATGGGGTTTATTAGGGAAGTAACAGGTTACGATTGAGGTTCAGGAATGCTCAGGATACAGTTCTTCCATCCGGACAGCCTCTTCTCAGCTGTGCCTGTAGGCACGCCTCTCTCCCTGGGCCCTCGGCCTCTGCCTTGCTGGGGCAAGTGTTACAAAGCTCTTTCAGCTCTGCTGAAAAGTTTCCAAAGGCACCCCACTCCACCAGTAAGTCTTGGCCCGAAGGCACTCAGCTTTCTCTCTCCGTGGGCCAAGAAGCCCACCATGCTGTCTCCTGCCGCTGTTTCTCTGCCACTGCTTCTCACCATCTTAGTGTTACAGCGCTCTGTCTCTCTCTGTCTCTCTGTCTCTCCCCTCTCTCTCTCTCTCTCGGTCTCCTGGTTCCAGGAGCTTCTCAGGGCAGGGATCCCAGGTCCAAAGGACGCGTTCCGTTCTTGGCTCTTCTTCCTTGGAGGTGGTGAGATCCTCTCCCTCCCACCTCTGGAATGCCTCATTTTAAGCCTAGTGGAATGGCAAAACTGACCAATCCCCTTGTTGTTGTTGTTAGGTGCCATCCAGTCAGTTCCAACTCATACCGACCCTGTGGACAACAGAACGAAACACTGCCCGGTCCTGTGCCATCCTCACAATCATTGTTACGCTCGAGCCCATTGCTGCAGCAACTGTGACAATCCATCTCATTGAGTGTCTTCCTCTTTTTTGCTGACCCTCTACTTTACGAAGCATAATGTCCTTCCCCAGGGACTGATCCCTCCTAACTACATGTCCAAAGTGTGTGAGACGGAGTCTCACCATCCTTGCCTCTGAGGAGAATTCTGGCTGTACTTCTTCTAAGACAAATTTGTTCGTTCTTTTGGCAGTCCATGGTATATTCAATATTCTTCACCAACACCAAAATTCAAAGGCGTCAATTCTTCTTCAGTCTTTCTTATTCATCGCCCAGCTTTTGCATTCTTATGAGGTGATTGAAAACACCATGGCTTGGGTCAGGCGTACCTTAGTCCTCAAAGTGACATCTTTGCTTTTCAACACTTTAAAGAGATCTTTTGCAGCAGATTTGCCCAATGCAATGCATCTTTTGATTTCTTGACTGCTGCTTCCATGGGTGTTGATTGTGGATCCAAGTAAAATGAAATCCTTAACAACTTCAATCTTTTCTCCATTTATCATGATGTTGCTTATTGGTCCAGTTGTGAGTACTTTTGTTTTCTTTATGTTGAGGTGTAATCCATACTGAAAGCTGTGGTCTTTGATCTTCATCAGTAAGTGCTTCAAGTCCTCTTCACTTTCAGCAGGCAAGATTGTGTCATCTGCATAACACAGGTTTTTAATGAGTCTTCCTCCAATCCTCATGCTACGTTCTTCTTCATAGAATCCAGCTTCTTGGATTATTTGTTCAGCATACAGATTG